GGCGAGTGGCATCGACAATAACCCAGTCCCTACACAAAGCTGTCCTATATGGGCGAGTGGCATCGACAATAACCCAGTCCCTACACAAAGCTGTCCTATATGGGCGAGTAGCATCGACAATAACCCAGTCCCTACACAAAGCTGTCCTATATGGGCGAGTAGCAGAAAGAAGCTATTACGCAAAAGAATCATCTTAAATCTCTCGTATGAAGTTTGTGACAAAGCATGTAGATGATACTGTAGACATGTGGTTAGGTTTTGTGGTCGGACGAGACAAAAATTGAGCTTTTTGGTCGAAATTCAAAGTGTTATGTATAGCACAAGCCCAACACAGCACATCACCCAGTCAACACCATCCCAACTGTCAACCATGGTGGTAGTAGCATCATGTTATGGGGATGCTTCTCATCAGCAGGAACTGGGAAGCTTGTCAGATTTAAGGGGAAGATGGATGGTGCAAAGTGCATCCAAGAATCTAAAACTGGCTTGAAAATTCACATTTCAGCAGGACAATGACCCAAAGCACAAGACCACTGTAGTGGTTTCAGAAGTGAATATCTTGGAGTGGCCCAGTCAAAGTACTGACTTGAATCCAATAGAAAATTTATGGCAAGACATTAAGATTACAGTCTTTCAACGATCCCCAATGAACTTGTCAGAATTGGAGCAATTTTGCCAGGAAGAATGGGCAAATATTACACCATTCCATTGTGAAAAGCTGGTAGAGATCTATCCAAAAAGACTCACAGCAGTAATTGCTGTAAAAGGTGATTCCACTAAGTACTGACTTTGGGGGCTGAATACTTATGCAATCAGCAAATTTCAATATATATATATTTTTCTTTGCAGGTTTTGTTGAAATTCATAACACATAACAGTGTTAAGTTTGATCATTAGAGTTTTGAATAAACACAAATTTATTAAAAAATATTGTTTATTTGTATTTCATCAAAATGTGACATTATTGGTAGGTGTGAATACTTTTGTAAGGTTCTGTATAATGGCTACTTTTGTACTTGTCCTCTCCGTGAGTTAATGATTATGATAACATTATTTGATGTGAAGTACAACAAGAAAAATATTGTATTTCTATATTTTGTCATATGTTGTTCAAATACTTAACTTATGAATCCACCTTTACAGTTATGTATGTTTATGTGGCCCAAATAGTGCTAAATTACTTAAGGTTCACATGCTACATTCTTACAGTTTAAAATAATTTGATTCTTGCAGAAGTGACTTTTATTATGACTGAAGTATTTTTATCCTTATAAATATTATAATAAGTAGTTAATTATTTCTCAGAGGACAGTCACCTGCAGATGCTGAATTACATTATCTTGAAAATGCTAAAAAACTAGCAATGTATGGGGTAGACCTTCATCAAGCCAAAGATTCTGAAGGTGTGGATATACTAGTAGGAGTATGTTCATCAGGCCTACTCATTTACAGAGATCGTCTTCGAATCAATCGATTTGCTTGGCCAAAGATCCTAAAGATTTCTTACAAACGTAACAATTTTTACATCAAGATTCGGCCTGGAGAGGTAATATACCATTTTATTATTTTAAGTTTTTTTAAATAAGAAATGTGTGAATCTGATGCTCAACACATTGTTTAGTAGCTTTCTCAATAGATCTACTTCTTTCTCATATATCCAAAAAAAACAATCTAAACTGGTGAGAACCTGGTGGGAGAACCGCTGAGATCTTATGTAAAAGTGACGCTAAATTTAAGGTTTGTGTGTCACTTGAAATACCTAAAACAAAAAAATATAAAAAAACGTTTTAAAATATTTATAGTGAGATGGATAATATGTCTGTGATTAAGATGCAATTGGGAGTAAGAAAGCTTGAATTCCAACCTCAGTCATTTCACTGGCTAGCTAGTGGTTGTTGTTATTTAAAAATAAAAATAAAACCTCTGCTTTCTATCAATAATTTCAAGGTAGTAAGTCTTATATGGGAGCTTAAGCCTAACCTCTGGTTACCATAGGGTAGACCCACTCTTTCTATTCTCGGAGACCATACTGATGTCCTTTGATATGGAGTTTTGACACTGAATTCTGTAATATAAAATTTGTATGATCTTCACAATGAAATGTACATTGAATCTGTTAAGTATACTTTTTGTTGTATTTGTCAAATTTTCTTATCTTCCCTGATTACTGAGTATGTAAAATGCCTAGTAATGAAAAGGTTAATGACATGAGAAAAAAATATAATAATGTTTTCAAGATTAATCAATTCATTTACTGTCAATTCAGACACCACAAGCAATATGAGAAAAGTTTAATATTTTTCAAATTCATTCATTTTACACAGATATTCAGAAACTGCCAGCAACATCAAAACATTTATTATTTTCAAGATCAATAAGTGTATTAAA